TATGGCTATTGTATCAGATTAAAATACAATATCAATAACTATAAATTTTATAGCTTAACAAAGCATAGTAGGAGAAATAGATACTATAACTCTCATTATAAAAAACAGTGATAGAATTGCAATAATTCATTAATCTCTTTGTACTGCACTATGTATATGATATTTTAAACTTTAAACTTGGTTAAACAGTCAAAATTCAACTACAACCACACCTCTCTAATGTAAATATCATATAGTGGGTTTATTTTGACAATAATAATTTTCGCGAATGGCCTATAACCGGAGGTTCACAGAATTAATTTTTGTGAATTGCCACTTTTCTGCCATCTTGTACCGTATTAAATTGATTTTCAAAAAAATTAATTTTGTAAATCTTGAAAAATTCGCAAAATTTGTTATCCTCAAAATAAACCCACTATACGGTACTGTATAGCAGGAAATTTTCAAGGATAACAAATTTCGCAAATTTTTCAGATTTTTTCAAGATTTGCAAAATTAAATTCCTTGGAAATCAATTTAATACGGTACAAGATGGCAGAATAGTGGAAATTCATGAAAATTAATTCCACAAACTTCCAGATATAGGCCATTCGTGAAATTTATTATCATCATTTATACTTATCATTGTTGCAGTTGCTATTTCATGAATCTCATTACAAAGTGCACAACATACAAAACCAATTATGAGAATAGAATGTGATATCATAATTCATAGTGTAGGAGTGCAGGTCATGAATCTCATTATGGAGATAGGGAAATTAGTACACAATGACAGCACAGCATACCGTATAGCCACAAAGTTTCGAGGCAATAAACTTTCGCAAATCAGGCCACAAGTCTTTTTTCGCGAATTAACTTTTCCAGTTCTTGTTTTAAAGCACGCGTGTTTATGGGCAATACGGATATTTCACGGAATTAACTTTCGCGAATACGGAAAATCTGCGAAAACAGCAAAAGTTGTACCCTCGAAATTAAGCGGCTATACGGTATGCTCACATAGCAACCACACAACTGTTACATAATTACATTTCAGTTAATGAGAATACATCAGCTAAGGTGATATACAACCTGGGTAATACATATACTAAGTCTAAAAGTACACTTTATTCCTAATAAACCATGCTAGTAAACCAGGTTTTTGGCAGAAATTAATTATTACATCAATTATATAGGATTATTACCCCTTGTGGAGATGTAGTGACATGAAATTCGTATTGAACAGATCTACCCTATAATACACAGTAGAACATAATTATGATATAACATTACAACATCATTTCTTACATTTCTAATAGCTATTAATTCATCAGTAGAAACATGATAAGGATCCACATTATCCACTAAATTCAGTTGTACTGGTTCACTTGTTGGAACTGGCGATCCTTCATCATCAGTTGACATATCAAAAACTATTGTTCCAATATGATGATCATGCATCTCATAATGACTTATCACTGCTTGTGGTTGATGACAGGCAGCAATTTCTATACATAATAATAATAATATCTATAGTCGTAATAACATCCATATACTGTACCTGCATTCAAAATAGCCCTTTTCTTCTTAGCTTGTCTCTTACACATCAAGAACAATGCTGCCACTATGAGTATTACTATTATCACCAATAAACCGGTAGCACCAATTATGACTGCCAAGTATATACTCATTTCTAAACAGAAATTTATATAATAATGTCATGATTTAATATACCTGGTGCATTTTCAATTCCAACAG